CCAATCGGCTAAGCCATCTCACCAGAGACATCCAATCATAACAACTTCTACACAAAGCGGCCCTGCCGCCTCACCCCAATGTGTGCGGGTGGAGGAGTAATCACAATCACAATCACCACCATGTGTGCGGCATGGCGTCCAATCTCAACCCGATCGGCTAGGTCATCTCACAACAATGCCATGTGGATTGACATCACACTTTTGCTAGCAATAATCTCATCCCAATTAAGGGAAATATTCTTATCACATCAATCTAATCCCAAATAAGGGGAATAATCATAATGCACTCCTACACCGGCATGTGTAGTTTCGGCGTTAGGTTGATCCCACCTACCCTTCCTCGGTGACTAAAGATAGTCCCAAAAATATTTTTGATTTGCATACAAGGGAAACATAAATACAATTGCATTTACCTCATAACCTTTCACACCATATATATATTCATTAGTACTTTCAACCACTTACAACATCATTATTTCATTGGCTCAATTGGCCATACATATGATTCTTCTTTTATGGCACAATGGTCGTATGTCATATTCCACACTTCTATTTCTTTACTTTCAAGGATCATCATCATAAACATCAACATATAGAATATTCCAGAAATCACAACTTTAAGTTCATTTGTAATGAAGACTTTTAAACACAGTGGATCTCTGTCCAAGAAATTGAGTAAAATGATTGGCAATCAAAGCGCAAGTTAAAATCATAAACGAGTAACACACCATTTATTCTTGAAATACTTTTCCCCCAAAAGGGCAATGCACAATTTCAACTCATGAATATGTAAGAGCTTAAAACACATTGGAAATACTTACAAAGCATAGCATTAGTTAAAACAGCCGCATTTGGGCATGACTCGAGTACATAAGTTTTTAGGCAAATCTATTTTCGAAGTCATTTTGAAACAGTTGAATCAAGGCTCATTCCATAACGTCTGTCACATCATTTCATTTTATTGGCACCATTGGCCACAAGTATAACTTTCATTATTGGCACGGTGGCCACACTTTATATCTTCAACTCACTTCTTTCACTTTCAAGCATCTTTATAGATTATCAACAATAATGCATTTCAAATCAAGATTTTAGGTACACATATGAGCAATTAAGAGTCTTAAGCACATCGAGTTTTTCTCACACAATTTGGCATCATAACTTTCATTTGAAACACTTCTCAAAGCCATAACATTTTAATACACATATCATTCGTGAACACATTCCCGAAGGATAACATAATGTGATAGGAACATTCGGAACACGTTTTGAACACATAACTTTCAACACTTTGTTTACTCGGGATAATCAAATTTAATAGGAACAACTTGGAACATGGGAATTAGGAACTTGAACCAACCATACTTGAAGCTTACGGGGACATTATGGAATTCGATTCTAAGAGAGAAGTTTAGCCAACATACCTTGTTTAAGCTTTTCTTAAGTTACTACAACGCCCCACACTTCTAGCAATAATAATCTATAGGAAGATAGCGAAAATCGGTTAATAATTAGAAGGATTTTCATGGTGTAACTCTCCTAGGAATTTTGTCAAACACCTAGCATGCAAGATAGACTACGAAGCCCTACAATGGTAATCCCTTACTCCCTCAACCAATTTCAACAAGAACTACCCAAAATGGTTTATTAACCCTACATACTACAAGATATTGGCACATGCATGGCCTAATTCCAATCCCACAATATACTTAGACCCTAAAATAACTTGCATAGGTGGTATAGGACAGGAACTTACCCGGATAGATGGTGGTCTAGTAAATGATTCCCTTGAATCTTCAAGATTGGGGAAAGGATTGATGATCAATACACTTGGGGCTCCTTCCTTCCTTTCTAAAGCACTCCCCTCTCTCCAAAATATGTGATTAACCCGGCAAAATAACTTCAATGTCATTTTATAAGAAATGGGGTCGGGTTATAAAATAGAAAAATGAACCCTCCGAACTCAGGTCTGCGATTGCAGAATGGACCGCATAACAGATATGCGGCCCGCAAAATAGGCCGTGAAATGATGCCAAGAACTGGGCTTGTCTAGACCGGTCTACGACAGGTATGCGGTCTGTAGACCACTTATGCGGCCGCAGAGTGGACCGCAGAATCGCCTAACGAAATTCTTCATGTCAAATCTGCGATGGAAAATGCGGACCGCGAAATGGATATGCGATCGCAGAATGGGCTGCAAAACGACCTTCAAAATTCAACCATTTTTCTGCTCAACTCCACGATGATTATGCGGCCCACAAAACGGTTCTGCGGTCGCGAAACAAACCGCATAATTGCCTTCTTCTGCCAAAAATTTTTATCAACTCCTCAGTGCATTCTTCAACCCAAAATGTCCGTACCGCCGCGGAGAGCTTGCGAGCCGCGAAGATTAACTACTACATTCGTACACATCACTCTACCTCAGCACCACAAAACCTTAAATTACTTGGCGAAACTTTATGGGGCCTTATATATACTCATACTGCACTTCTATATTTTTATACAGATACTAATCAGGGTACCAGCAAGATCCAGGTTAGTTCACTTGGAGACTCGAGGTAGAGCTGCTTGTTCGTCCGATGTGCCTTGAAGTCACTTCCCTCTTTTATTATTGTTTCCTTGTATTAGACAGTGATGTATTATTCAGACTTATGTCATATGATACTCTTTAGATATCATGACATCGTGACACCAGTTCGTAGGGCTTGTTTTGTTTATTTTCGCACGTGTTATGCCAGTTTTAGACTTATCTTATGATATTATCTCTATTAAGACTTATTTATGATTTTATGATGTTTAGACTTGTGGTATGTATGTTGGTTCACCTAGTAGGGGGATTACGTGCCATAACAACCTTGGCATTATTTGAGTCGTGACACTGACAAAGCTTAAATATGCACAGTATTAAGTTGAGATGGAGTACTAGGGATCTCTCTACACTATAGAAATAAGAGTGTCATCTTCATAAATCAAACGTGACACAGAAATTGAGTTACCAAGGTTCCGGCCTACTTTAAAGCCTTCCATTCGTTGCAGTTGCTTGGCTTTTCTGGTGTTTTGGTAAGACCCTCCATAACCAATATGAAGAGGAAAAGTGAAAGATGGTCTCTTTGCCTGAGTCCTTTTTGTGAGAAATGAATCCTACAGGGCTTCCATTAACTAAATTGAGTATTTCACAATAGATATGCAGCATCACACATCCACCTGATTCATACTTCCCTAAGCCCATTTTTCTTAATATTATGAAGAGGTAAGAGAAATTAAGTGGGTCAAAAGCTTTTTCTATATCTAGAGTGAAAATGATACCGGATCCCCCACTCTTTTACTTTCAAACCCAACACTTCATTAGCTAATAGGGCAGCATCAACGACCTGCTTGTTCTTTATAAAGGCATTTTGATGACCGAAAATTACCTCTCTCGCCATTCTTTTGAGACTGTTGCTTGTAGTTTTGCTGAAATTCTAATATCGCTTTACCCTCAATGATTTCACTGTCCATTTCATAGTCAATCAATACAGTTGACCATTTTGTATGAACTAGAAATCTTCTGAAAGTATTTAGTGTTTCGCCCTGTTTGAGCCATAGACACCTAAATTTTTGCCTTCATAACACTTCTTCTGCCTTTGCTAGTTGCTGATTTCTGCAAGTTTAGTGATCTGGTTTTTTCCTCTTATGATTGAGGTTCCCCCTTTTATGCTTGTTGCGGTGATAATAATTCCTCAAGGGCCTTATTTCATCTTGTTTCAATTCTACCAAAAACAAGCCCGTCAGAAGCAACCTAAGTAGAAAGCCACCCTTCCAGAGTCTCGTCCATCATCTGCTTAGGTCTTCTTTATTTCAGGTTATGATATCCTAATTTAAAAACTTTAGTTTCTGCTTAAGATATAATCAGGAGTACCTTCTTACCATGTAACTCTGTCATCATTATTTTACCTTGTCCATGAAACCCTCAGCTTAGAATCACATGTTTTCAAGTTTAAAATATGAAGAGTTTCTTTCCCAATCTCCACTTTCCTGCATGATAGGACAGTAATCTGAGATAACCTTAGGAAGAACAAGCTGGTTCATAGCCCTGAAACTGTCGTTCCATTTAAGTGAAATCAAGAATCTATCTATCCTTGATTCTTATATTGAGTCCTCTCCCTTGGACCATGTGTAAGAGGCCCTATAAAGGAAGATCAACTCAGTTCCTGTTTTGTGTCTGAGAAGCTTTTCATTGCTTTAGACCTCCTCACACAGTTAAGCCCTCACTCTCAAACCTGCAAATATTCAAGTGTCTCCCAAGGAATTAATGATCATTCCATTGCTGCTAGCTCATGCCAAAGCTCTTCCCTTTTCTGATTAGTGTGTGGGCCATAGTCTTGTAAATCTCCATTGAAATTTCTCATGTGCTCCTTCCAACAAGCAAGATATTGAGTAAGATCATTACTGAATGTCTATGCAATTTCACTGACAATTATCCCATAATATGATGATTTCCCCTCTTGTGCCACTGACCTTTAATTCTGCCCCGTCAGCCCATCTTGTCCACCAAACTTGTCAAGCCAAAGTTGTTGACCGATCTTCAAATTTTGTTTCCCGTGAGCAGTAACTTGGTCCATTTAATATCTCAACAATTATAAGATACTAAACCAACTGTTGACATTGGGACTTCTCTACATACCATGGCATAAGAAGACAATCATTGTGTATTGAGGTGAGAATTCAGTATGTAAACTCAAACTACTTAATTTCCGTTATGTAAGTTTTTTGAAAGAAAATTTACATACTTATAAGCTACATGAAAATGTCCTTCAAGTCAAAAATTGCAGTCACAATATTCTCTTTAATTCTCCAACTTAGTGACCCATAAAGTAGAACATAAGGAGTATCAATTGTAATAAATCTCAGATCACGTGAAGTCTATTCCTCGGCATATATTTCACTCTATTTAGGTTTACAGTATTAAGACGATTCATCATATCGGGACATCATTCTTGCAACAGTAACAAAAATGCATGTATGCTTTAACAGTTATTGCTATTTAACAATGCTTCATTCTTAGCAAGAAGTGCAAGCCAAATTGTTTAGAATCATGGTAATAATACAATAGAATAATTGCCGAAGGAATACGTTTATCGTGAATGGTTCCTAAACCTACAAACAGCATTTATACAATTTCTGAAACAAAAAGGTCTAAAAGAAGCGGGTTGTCCATTTAGAATTCATAAATCTTCAGCTGGCGGAATCTCACTCAAATCCAGTCCATCCTCGGGTAGTTCAGAGGTCAGCGGGCCTAAAATCCCGTCAGAGTTCAGGGTCAATCCACTCTGAGAAGTTACAAAAAAAAAAAAAAAAGGAGACTTACACAAGTCAATACTCTCAGTCACATGCAATTATTTCAAGGCAAAGAATATGACGATAAATTCAGTTTTCAATTGAAGCATCAGAAGACCAATTAATTTATGACACTTTGTGTTTCTAGACGTTCTATAGCATTTGACATCATTTCACTAGCATTATTATTTTATACAAATTTCATAAGTTTCAAGAATTCTTATTCACTTCAAATTTAGAACTTTGATTTGATATGTTGACTATTAAACAGATTTGAAGTTTGTGCCCGATGAGATGGTATCAAATAAGATAGGATAGAGGTGATAGTAGTGAAATTCATAAGAAAGTTCAGCAATTTTTATATTAAAGCATAATACTTGGTTAGCTGAGCAAAGAAGATTGGTGGGCATGAGCAAAGAAGATATTAAAGGGAGACGATTAAGCTAGAACCGGACTTAAGTATCCTCATAACCAACAGCTTAAATTTTATCCTATATCCTTTATTATTCAAGGCTCCTCCCACTTGTATCCATTTTTCTTTCTTTTCTTTGTTCTATTATCCCCACTTCCGTATCACCCAATTCTAATCTTATCTCTTGATGTGGAAAGAAAGGGAGAGAGGGAATCCAGTTGCTTCTCTAATTTCTGCCTTCCAGTTATTGTCTTCAAATTTCTTGGGCTAACAATACTCAACTTTGCTGCTTCTTTTCCTTTTTCCTATTCTTTCTACTTCCTCAGCTTATATATATCCATATTTACACAGAGCGAACTTAATTGGCAGAGTTCTATTTCCACATAACTCAATAAGTTTATGTAAAGTCACTCCAAGGTATATAAATAATGTTGGCATGCTTCATATAAGATCAAATGGAGAAAAAGCTTTTCAAATAATAATATTTTACAATGCCTGTAAAATGAAACAATTTTCATATTAGTAAGACATAAGAAAAATACCTCAGGCTGGAACCTCAGCATATCTGCACGGGCCATGGCTTCAGCTTGGGCAATTCTCTGCCTGAATGTTTGGGCCATCTCCTCAGCCTGTGAAAACAAAACGTAGGAGAAATGCACAAACATGAAATGATGATTTACTACAAGTGCAGACAAATAAATAACATTTGGAAATACTTACTTTCTCAAAGACAAGCTTTGGATTGCGAATCATGTCACCAGGTGTAGGCTCTAGCTTCTTTGTTGAAAGGCTCACTCGACCTCTCTCACGATCATGGCTCAATATCATGACCTACAACAAGATTGAGCAGAAGATTAGAGATTTCTCCAGTCATCGAAAAACTTTTCCGAGCTTGAGATTTCTACACACACCTTGAGAGTGTCACCAGGCTGGAGGACTGTTGCAATATCAGAGACACGATCATGACTGATCTGACTCACATGAAGAAGGCCATTGATCCCACCAATGTCAATGAAGGCACCATATGGTTTCAAGCTCTGAACTGTTCCAAGAACGACTGAGCCTATTCCTAATTGTGCCTGACTATCAGCCATGGCCTTACGATTGCTGAGCACAAGTCTGGATTGCTCTTCATCAACCTCAACAAACTTCAGAGGAAGCTCCTTTTCCAAAAGTTCCTCTGCAGTTGATTTCTGAAATATTGAAAGAGATTTATTTATTTATTTTGATAAGGCAAATCAAAAGAGAGTTATGCATGGTGAGTTTCAAGTAATCATAGCAAATTTACTTTTGGAAACGCACCTAAGGGTGTGGCCTAGTGGTCAATGAAGTGGGTGAAAATCACAGGAGAACAAGGTTCAAATCCCAGCAAAGACTAAAAACACAAGGTGATTTTTTCATATATGCCTAAGGCTTGGTTGGTAGAGTAACCCCGTATCTGTGCCGGTGGAAGTTAGCATGTAACTCTGTGGAATAATTGAGGCACGTACAAGCAGGCCCATACACCACTGTTACCAAAACATTATTTTTGTAACAAGGAAAGACAAAGCTCCTAATCACCAAATTATACCCCATGGTTTGATTTCGAATTAAGAAGATAATTTCATAGGTGAAAAACGCCGAGGAGATAATGGATGCAAAACTAGAACTTATAGCTATTCAGTTATATTCTATCGTCTTTTAACTAACAAATCGCAAAAATGTCCCTCATATAGTAAAATCGCCAGCCATTTGGAAATTTTCTTGGTTCTCCTTGTAGGAGAAATTGAATATCGGCATAGATACTAATATGGTACAATTAACTAAATAAGTTTTCTAGTCGAGTATCAAATCTTACATGCAACTATAGAATATCTGTAAAATTACGACAAAAATTGCAAAAGTAGGCCTTGCAAGAAGTAAATTGCACTAATGATTGTTTAAACAAACAGATAGTAGACACAATATCCCATACTTGCAACCTTCCTTTTTATTCTCAACATGTGGATGTGAACTAAGTTGCTCGGACTCGGGTGCGGGTGTCCGATACGGGTGCGGATCTAGAGGTCAGATCCTTCATGATCTAAATTTAAAGATTCGGAGGTACGGATCCAGGTACGGATACGGGTGCAGAGATTCGGCTAAAAATAATTCAATTATTTAAAAATAGAGTTATAAAAATATGTCTAAATTATGAGACATTATGTGAAAAACTTACAAGGTATTCCGAGAAGGAGAAAATATTGAACAAGAGTAGAATTTTAGAAGGAGATAAAAGGAAAAGGACTGACATAGAAATTTATATATACAAGGTATTCCATTTTCTTCCATATCACCCTAACTTTTGATTTGTTTTCAAAAATCATTGTATCTGTCCCAAATTTCTCCGTTGATTTTGGTCAAAGTACCCAAAATCGGTTGACCAGATCCGACACGGATCCCACACCCATACCCACACCCACATCGTGTCGACACGGGTGCGGCACTGAAAGTGAAGAGTCCGAGCAACTTAGGATGTGAGTACCCCTAGGCCTCATAATACCGCTTATTTCAGTCAGCTCAAACAACTTAATGGTGGGTAAATCCCACTTTACATTTCTTTAGCTTGCCATTTAATAGCAGAAAAGAAGTATCAATCTATCTACCAAACAAAAGCTGGTCTCACTTTTGGGCTGATAAATGTGCTCTTTGTGAGAAGTTGAAACTTTGCGGCACAATAGAGTGAATCAGGCGATCACCACATGCAAATCTTAAATAAAGGACAGAAACTGCAACAGGCTATGAAAAGAGGCATCAGTCAGTAAAAATAAACAAAAAATGGCTGGATAGGTCAATCTGAAATATCTGTCAAGTCCAGACTCACTGTAAGAATCGTGTAGAATATTGCAGTTTTGGACATTTAGTTAGGAGATTAATTCGTTTTAATAGGATCCTTGTAAATTAGGTGACTTATCCTATTAGAATAGGGTAACAAGTCCTGTATAAGGAGCCACTTTTTATTGAGTTTCAATCAAATGACCAAGTAATTCTCTCTCTCTCTCTCTCTCTCTCTCTAACTCTCTCTCTCTCTCTCTCTCTCTCTCTCAGTATATGAGGTCTGGATGATGGAAGATCTACAAGAAACAGTCACAGCTTCACAAAATAGGTTATAGCTCATGTGGTGAATATACAACTAACCGTTGATATCTGCGAGAACGGAACAAAACCACGAAGCCCCTCCACCAGAGCCACCACTCCACCTTTATTTGCACCAACGACCTGCAAAATCATCCAAAGAACTAGACTTGACCATTGCTACAGGATTGAATGTGCTACTAAAGCATTGATGATTCAGGACAAGTGCATACCTTGCCTTTGACAACAACATCTTCAGCTTGTAGCTGCCTACATCGTTCCCATGCAAGGTCATATTGAATCGAACGCAAGCTCAAAACCAAACTATCATCAGCTTCATTTTCGCCAACCACCACAAACTCCTCACGCAAACCAGGATATATTCCGGCTTCCTCTACGTGCTTGATGGTGTGAAGTGAAGCCTCTCGTAAAGGCAAGTATGCAGATGATTTTGCAGTGATGTCAACTAGAGCTCCATTTGCATCCACAGAGAAAACTGTTCCTTTGACCTGGAAAGAAGATAAAATCCATTTGCTTCATCATTTGGTCAACTCCAGCTATAAGCGTCGAATCATAAATAATAACAGATTAATATGAAAGTTTCATGAAATTGTATACTAACATCAATTAATCCCAAACTAGTTGAGGTAGGATATTTAAATCCTTTGTATCCATTTCAAGCTATTATGAAATCATATACTTATCAGGTTAAAATAATTCCCCTGTTAACCCAAACCCCGTTAAGAATTGACCTTTAGCATCTCAAAATGTAACCCATTTTACAATTAAAAAACAAACAGCACTCAACTATTTCATTGTTTTCCCAATTAGTCCAAGACAGCATCAAGAATTTGATATGACAACAGATATAGCGTGCAATGAGCCAACCTTGGTACCAATTTAACTACATTGAAGCATTGTCTCAAAATGTGACCCAATTTACTATCATAAACTAATATATATCCTTTCAAGTTTTTCCTAATTAGTCCAAGAATCCATTTTTAAACACAAAAATGAAGAAGTTGGGAGCTAACCTTGGTACCAACTTCGGAGTCAAAATCATATTTTTCAAGGGCAGAGTGAAAATCTTCAACAGTAAAGGCAACACCTTCCAGAGGTGCAGTACGGCATCGCTCATAGGCATCCTCGAACATCTCCTTAAGCTTTTGTCTTTCTCTTGTTTGTGCATTTGTGACCACTGCTGCAGCTTGTGCTACTATTCTTGCTTTGTTAGCCTTATTCTGATGATTAATGGGATTCACCTTAAGCTTCTTGGATTGAAGCCTTGCTGTTGAAATTGGTGGGCATTTCAACCCTCCGAATTGTTGTGTCAAAGAAGCCATTTTGGCTACTGTGCTTAGAGGAAGTCAGGTAATGGATGAATAGTTAGTTACACACCATGGATTCTTTGCGCAGATAAGATAAAAGCGAAAGGAGGAGGAACAGAGGGTCCCACTTTTAGCTGGGCCTCTTAAGACTTGGGCTGCTTAATGAATTATTTCGCAGATTTCCAGTTTTAAAGCCGCTGTTTCGAATATAGCCAGCTTTTACAAAATAACCCCTATTCAGAAAAGGGACAGGCACTCCTCTCTTCTTCTTCTCTGTTTTCTCTGCATTTGTTCAACTTTTTCTATTTCTTATCCTTACGAGGAAGAGAGGGAATGGACATACAAGTGTATACGATAAAATTGGATAGCGACAATTGGACGAATGAGGAGATTACACGTGGAACTGGAGACTAGTGGGACGCGAGTCAGCAAATAACTGGCACCTGATGCAAGTATGTGACCAGCGCTGGATGAATCCCAAAGAACCGTTACGCATCCATCAATGACGGTTTTATTCTCATTCAAGAGAAGCTTGCTTTAGGGATTTTGTCTCCCTACATATGGCTATAAATAGGAGAATTAGCACCATTTTATAGGGGAAAATACTCTATACACAAAAAGCTATATTTTGCTCTCTAAAACATAAAGTCATTTACTTTCTTCTGCTCTTATTATTGATCGTACCTCTGCTACAGTAAAGATTAAGCTCACAACTAGGCTAGTTTTTTCTTTAATTTTATTTCATAACCCCTTTGTTTTTTACTTACTTAATATTCTTTCACCACCATCGAGCTATAATCGGCGGGCAGGCCCTTATTGGGCAACCTCTGATCAGATGGTAAGTGATATACCATGCCTATTATGGTCGAGCGCCTATGAGCGAGTCCAGAATGGCCGAGATACAGATCCTAGTATGGCAGAGTGCCTATGAGCGAGCCTACTACGGCAGAGCAGTTACACGTACCGAGCCTTATAGGGCCGGACAACTATTTTACTTACTATATTGAGAGAGTTGAGTCAGTATCAGCAGGTAAGCATATCTTCAGATCATCTTTGACTCCCAGTTACTTTCAATTATTATATTATCGGTTCAGTTTCAGCTTTCAGTTATTTTATTTCCTTACATATTCAGTACATTATTTCACACCGACGTCCCTTTTGCCGGAAAAGCTGCATTTCATGCCTGCAGGTCCTGATAGACAGCTGGATAGACCTTCCCAGTAGACAGAGTCAAATATCAGCTTTGTTGGTAAGCTCCACTTCCTTGGAGTTACCAGGCTTAGACCTTGGAGTCAATTTTATATATATAGGTTTGATGGGTAGGTCGAGGCCCTGTCCCGACCATGATACCGTTCAGTTATCTCTAGAGGCTTGTAGACGAGTCATGTGTATTTTGTATATCAGTATTGTGGCCTTGCCAGCCTTGTGTATATGTTCAGTTTGGTATTGCTGGTTGGAGACATTCATGGTGGCCTCATCAGCCTACACAATTATATATATGAGTTTTTGGGTATGTTTACCCCTCAAATGAGAGAGACGTCATTTTCAGATGATTCAGAATATGGCCTCATCGGCCTTGATTGTTATTGTCAATTTGCAGGTAGGCCTCGTTGGCCTATGTTCACAGTTACAGAGTGGTACGCTCAGGCAGAGTATGGCACCGAGTGCCGACCACACCTTCCCAAGTGACAGCAGGCCATCGTACGCCATATGGATGGACCTACTTGTTCCAAGCTGTAACGACCCGACCGGTCATTTTGTGTATATGATCTGCATTTCCCCTTTTAATACTTCACATATGTGTATTTATGATTTTATGACTTGCGGGGTTGGTTAGTTTCATTCTGGAAAAATTTTGGGTTGATTTGGACCCTTTGGTTCTTGGTTTAGAAGCCTAAGTTTAAAATATTGACCAAAGTTTAAATTTTGTGAAAACAATCTCGAAGTAGTGTTTTGATGGCTCTGATAGGTTCGTATCGTAATTTTGGACTTAGGAGTATGCCCGAAAACAAATTTGGAGGTCCCTAGGTTGATTTGACTTGTTTTGCCGAAGTTGGCAATTTAAGGTTTAGAAGTTTTTCCAAGTTTGATTGTAGGTTGACTTTTTTGTTATCGGGTTTAGAATTTGGTTTTGGGACTTAGAATAGACATGTTTTACTATTTGGAACTTGTCTGCAAATTTTGGTGTCATTTCGAGTTATTTTGATAGGATTCGGACGCTTAGTTGCAATTCTAGAGGTTCTTGAATTTTCTTTTGAAATTCATGCATTATGATGTCCGATTCGTAGTTCTATTTATTATTTTTGTGTTTTGATCACACGATCGAGTTCGTATGATATTTTTAGGCTTGTGTGGATGTTTGGTTGGGAGCCCCGACGACTCGGGTGAGTTTCGGATGTATTTCGGAAAGGTTTGGACCCAATTAATAGTTGTTGGTGTGATGATGCCTCAGGTGTCGCAATTACGAACACCAGCATCGAAATTGCGATTTTAGAAGGGGGTCTCAGGTGTTGTATTTGCAATGCCTAGATCGCAATTGCGCAGTAGTATCTGGGCAAGGTAGGCTCGCATTTGCGATAATTATGTCGCATTTGCGATGGGGACAGGCTTCGCAAATGTGAAGTCAATGTCGCATTTGCGACTTCCCCATAGGTTATCACTAGCCGCAATTGCGAGGCTTTCATTGCAATTGCTTGCGACATCTGCAATTGAACAAAGGGCTAGAAAGTCGAGATTTCATCTCATTTCTCTCATTTTAGAACCCTAGACTATATTTCATGATTTCATATGAGATTTAACATCAAATTTATGAGAATCAAACAGAAATTTTAGGAATTTTTCTCTAAGTTTTGAAAAATAAAAATTTGGGATTTGAGAGTCGAATTGGACTCGGATCTGAAAACAAAATACATATACAGACTCGTGGGGTTATGGGTAGTCAAGATCTACCCTTGGACTTGGGTTTTGATCGGGCGGCCCCGAGGGTTGACTTTTGTTGACTTTTGGAGAATTGTGTAAAAATCATAGCTTTATTAATCGTAATTGATTTCTCTTGCATTGTTTGATGATATTAAGTCATTTTTGGTTTAGATTTGGGTCGTGCAGAAGCAAAATTTAGGGGAAAATCTATTTTTGAAGGTTGATTTGGATTGCTTTTGGTAAGTAACACATCTAAACTTGAATTTGAGGGTATTTAACCCTGAGAACTACGTTATATGAAAGATATTGGGGTGACGTACGCGCTAGGTGACGGTCGTGTGTACGTGCACCGGTGTGTTCATTGTTTGGGGAGGCCTTTAAGCCATTACCAGACTTGTTTTGCTATCATACCATGTTATACACGCATTTCCCCTACTTGTTTGATTACTTGAACTGTGATTCATGTTAGACATCATGTCTAGGCTAAGTGTTATTTGTTTGAGACTTAATAGAGCTATTCTTGCCATTTCTGAGCTATAGGCCTTATTTGTAAATATGTTCTCAGTCATGATGCTATATCCGTATACGATATCTCTGTCTCAGAACTTCTTATTTGATTCCTCACATATTGTTGATGCCTCATATGTGTAACACTATTAAACTGATTATTGTGAGATGTGTTGTCTGAGACTTGAATGGTAAATGACTGAGTTTGGGCCATAGAGCCGATTTGGTATTTATTTTGAGGTAACGCATACGCCAGACCCATATTAGGCTAAGTGTTATTGTTTTGGGGCGACGCGTGCACCATGACTCACTATTGGGCTAAATGATTGTGATTAGTGGTTGGGCAGGATCCTCCCTTCCGGAGTCTGACATGCCAGTAGTGGGAGCATGCATAGTGTTTTATATACGTGCTTAATAATGGGTAGATATGCCAGGCACCACTACAGTTCTAAGTGTGGATATTTTTATGGATACCCTGTGATATCGTTAATTTGACATGTATACTTGACAAGTAGGAAAAGAGACGTACTTTCCTCACGCTAGCTATTAATTGAAATACTTTATCTGGGTTGGATTTTAACTATTGTACTTGAAAGCATGCCTAAATTCCTGAGATGTGAACAAGTCGAACATAATATCATCGAGCTACCTGTTTCTACTATTTTTCCTTTATATTCTAAATTTTTACTAGTTATTGATATTGACATCTGACTATTGTTTCTGAGCTCGTTACTGCTTTCAGCCAAAGGTTTGTATTGTTAATTATTGAGTATATGGGGTCGGTTGTACTCATACTACACTCTGCACTCCGTGTGCAGATCCAGGTACATCCGGTTGAGGGGATTTCTAGAGTTGAGTTTCTACTAGTGTTTTGGGAGACTACAAGGTAGTTGCTATGTCGTTCGCAGTTCTTGAAGTTCTCTTTTAGTTATTTCTATCCTTAATGTTCTATTGTTCAGACTGTTGTATTAGAGGATTTTGCTTGTATGATTTAGTAGTGCTCATGTACTCATTGGCACTAGATTTTGGGGATGGTTGTTGTAGTATTATGGTTATATTCTCAGATATTTCATGATATTTTCCGCTGAAAGTTATTAAATAATGTTTATTCGATTTCATTGTTATTATGTGGCTGTTGGCTTACCTAGCGGGTTGGGTTAGGTGCCATCACGACTAGTGAATTTTGGGTCGTGAAAAGTTGGTATCAGAGCACTAGGTTGCTTAGGTCTCACGAGTCACAAGCAAGTTTAGTAGAATCTTGCGGATCGGTACGGAGACGTCTGTACTTATCTTCGAGAGGCTACCGAACTATTAGGAAACTTCACTTTCTTGCATTCTTGTCATGCTAATTTGTTATTTACAAAGTTTGAGCCTTGACTCTTCTATTCTCTCACAGATGATGTGGACACGTGTGACCAAATTAGGTGGACGACCATTAGTACCACCAGTTAAGGCCGTGAGAGGCCGAGGCCGCGGTAAAGGTCGAGGTGTAGCTCGCACTACAGCCAGAGCAGCAATTGTGGAGCCACCAGTTGCTCCAGCTATGGAGCATGTTCCAGATACAGTTGAGCCGGTGGGACCAGCTCAGGCACCAGCTATGCCCATTGTTATTCCTGGCCTTCAAGATGCCTTGGCCCAGATTTTGACTGTGTGCACGAGCCTGGCTGAGACGGTTTCGGTTCTAGCTACACCAGTCACCTCACATGCTGGGGGAGGTATCTAGAATCCC